CCCCCCCGGGAGGGGCTCCCCCCGCCCCGCGGCCCCGCGCTTGTTTATGTGAAGAATGTCCCCTTCCTTAAAAGGGCGATGGCCGCCGTGGGGCCCGCGCCGCTCCGCGGCCGCTCCGCAGCGCGGGGGCACCCCGGGGCGGGGGGGGGGCTGCCCCCCTCGGACCCCGTGCGACCCCCAGCCAGGGGGACACGCGGCGGGGGCTCCCTGCGGCTGGGGGTCCGGGGGTCTTGGTGCCTGCCCCCCCCTCCCCAATTGCAGAGCAGGGGCTGAGGCTGGTGCCGCCTGTGCTGGGGGCAGCGGAGACCCCCGGCTGCTGGGGGCTGGGAGAGGCAGCCGTGAGGCGGCCCGGACGGCTCCGTGGGGATGGGGACAGCGTGGGGACAACTCGGTGCCCTGAGGGGATGGGGACAGGGACAGTGCGGTGTTCGGGGGGGATGAGCCCACCAGCTGCTGCCCCCCGCCCCGCTCCCCTGGGCAACATGAGGCCCGTGTCCCCACAAGCTGCGTGTCCCCAGACAGGACGGGACAGCTGCAGGCCAGGACCTCTCACTGTCACGGGGACACTGGTGGCCCTGGTGGCTTCCTAATTACATTAATTAGAGGCTGGACGGAGCCCGGCTGGGGCTGGGGCTAGGGAGCTGGTGCTTGCAGACAGCCAGGCAGAGCCGGGGGCAGCTGGGAGGAAGGGCAGGGTCCGGCCGAGGCCGCAGCGGTGGCTGTGGTGGCCGCAGCGGTGGCCGTGGTGGCTGCAGCGGTGGCCGTGGTGGCTGCAGCGGTGGCCGTGGTGGCCGTGGTGGCCGCAGCGGTGGCAGGACCAGCAGCCCCCGGCACCTCAGGGTGCAGGGCCCGGGGCAGCTCAGCCCGTCCCTGCACACAACGCACCCAGCGCAGCTCCCATACGTGTCCCCTCGCACCCTATAGCGGAGCAGTGGGGCCCTTCCCGCTGGGCATGAGCCCCGTGTCTGGTCCTGCTGCCACCGGCTCCACCTGGACAGGAGGAGCAGGGACCATCCCAAAATAGAGCCGGGAGGAAGCACGGCCTCTTCCTCTTCCTCCAGCTGGCGAGAGGAGGATGCTCCGAGGAGCAGGGAAACCTGGCGCAGGGCTGGTCCCACCTGGGGACCGGGGCTCCCTGCGGCCCATTGGGCCACCCCAGCGGGACCCGGGCTAGTGGCTGGCAGCCACAAGTGGCTTCGGGCCCAGGGGCCCTCAGCCCCGCAGCCCCCCGGGCTCTGCAGCGGGTCCTGCCGCCGCGCGCGGCCTCGGTGACGGATCCGGCAACGCGCTGAAACCCGGGCGGTTTGGGCAGAGGTGGCCAGGGCGGCTGCTGCTCCCGTGTGGGCTGTGCCAGGAGGGCCCCCCGGCCCCCTGCCCCCTGTGCCCGTGTTTGCCCCCCAGGGCTGCGCCGTGGGGCAGGACGGTGAGGCCAGGCCCAGCAGGACCCCCGAGCAGAGCCGCCCCCAGGGGCTCTCCCGCTCCAAGGCTGGATCCTGGCCTGGCCGGACGCCGGTGCTCAGGAATGGCAGCTGGGGGGACATGGGGACCTGGCTCCCTCCGGGGGCCGCTGCCGCCCCAAAGCTCAGGGCCAAGCTGCAGGCTGGAGCGAACCTGCCAAGAGCCCCCGGGGAYGGCGGGAGAGGGAAGCGGGAGCAGCGGGTTGGGGTTCAGCACCCCCTGCCCCCAGGGACCCCCCGGTGACCACCCCGGGGGGTGACCACGAGGCAGCGGGAGGGGGGGGACGGTCACCCCGCCAGGGCTGGGCGCCCCATCGCACCCCTCAGCGGCACCTTTGGGTGCTGCCAGGGAGCAGCCCCCCCGCCGGGGACACCGGGGCCCCCCCGCTGCCCGGTGGGACCGGGACCCCCCCCGCTGCCCGG